CGCCGGCAGCCAACAAGTCCGGGAGGAGCAGCCTGGGGCTCCTGCTTTTCCCAGCACTTAGCCCCCTTGGCTTTGCGAGCAATTACTGTAAATGCAAATGCGTTGCCTCCTCTTCCATGTTAGTGAAGTTTTAAAAGAGGGTCATCAGTGGAAACACCTGGCAGGAGGCTGTACCAGCGCGTAGCCTGCTGCCCTGGAACCAAGGTAGAACCATTCTAAAGACAGCTTTAGCCAGCAGGGCAGAAGACACCTGGGCTTTAGATGTGGAGCAACTTCCTAGCCCAGGTGTGCTTTGGTTCTCACCCTTCACCTATGGACTTCTGCCAGAATGCTTTTTTCAAAAACGACACTGACCAAAGGCAAATATGATTCAAGTATGACTCAAACTAGAAAATGCTGAAACAAATATTTTGTTGTTGGGCAGACGTTACTGTAGTGTGCAACCCCAAAGGTCCTTGAGACAAGTTTAAAGTGAATATCTGGGCCGGGCGGTGGTAGCACATTCCTTTAATTCCAGCACTCCGGAGGCAGAGGCAGGTGGATTTCAGTTAGTTCAAGGCCAACATGCTCTACAAAGTGAGTTCCAGGACAGCTAGAACCCCTGTCTCGGAAAAAAACAAACAAACAAAAAACCTAAATATCTGGTTATAGCGTGACTTTAGTGTAGCAGCTAGTGCAGAAAGCACGGTGGCACATTCAACCCCAAGTATATTGTTTTGTCTAAAGCCAAATTACAGTCCAGGGGTATGAAATCAAGAAAGTGGAGGGGCATTTAGCAACTAAAAATGTTATCTAGGCAAAACCCATGAAAGTCGACTAATCTCCCTCTGGCTGCTGGAGAAGTGAGCAGGTGACACTGAGTTAAGGACCCTCCCAGCGGCCCCCCAGCTGCTCCCCAGAAAGGATTTGAATCTTTCAATTGGATTTGAAATTAGGAGCATGAGCATGAGAAAAGATGAGGATTAGATACAATTAGATGGTGTAAGAAAAGTTTCCAAGCTAACATTATCCTGGAAGAGAACATGTATAAAAGATCTACTACTCAGAAAGCCCAGAGGGGATCCAAAAACAAAAACCTGAAGCAACACTCGTTCCTGTACCTACCAGGCCTGGAGTATAATGTGTCTCCCCAAAGCAACGTTAAATGAATACCAGCTGCCTCTCCAGTGGTCCAAGTGCCAGCCCAGAGGATGCAGACAGGGAGTCTAGCTGGGGATAAAAGTGGCAAGGGGCCAATAAAATTATGAAGTAATTCTGATTTTAAGTAATACCATTTCTCTCAGAATTAGCTGCGATAGGAAAATGCTATAGTAGTCACATATTAATACTTCTTTATAACTGGTCTCCTGGGTGTATGCAGAATAGAATCACAGTATGGAAAGTCCTTGGTATTGAATTTTCATTTATTTGCTTTTCCAACATTTACCAGATTTTCAGATGTACTACTTAGCCTTTACAGTCTAGACTCGTAATAGCAGACTCTTGAATCCTAAATTCTAGGATTTCACTATAAAATCTGTGGGAAAAGTTTCCAATTTTAGAGTTGTAAGGGTCTTAGAGATACTGGTTTTGTCCAGTCATTTTCACTCATTCTGTTTTCCTCTGGACATTTAGAAAGTAGCTGAGGCAGGAGCATTCTTACACTGAAGCTGAGAGAGTTCAAGTTTGAAGGCACCTCACTGGTATAGCCTTTTCTAGTGGGAGCAATGTGATCAGATGGTCACATGTTCTTAGATGACTGTGAAAGTAAAATAAATAAATAAATAAATAAATAAATAAATAAATAAATAAACTTGTGTTGAGACCACAGGCCATTTCCTTTGTTCTATTCCTAGAATTAGTAGGTACTATAATTCTTGGACTCATACCGAGGTCTCATGAATAAAGAATACATTGGCTTTGAACTTGTTGGGAAATATTTATGTAGTTTTACTTGCTCCTCTCCAAAGGATAATAAAGTTGTTAAATTCCACTTTGTTCATTGTGCAATTCATCAAGATCTACACCCAGGATGCAAGACCGCAGATTCTGTCCAGACATGAATGCATCTGTGGCTTCTTACACTGCAAGTACGTGGATTGTGAAGGTGAAACAAGATTTGAAGTGTGCAGCTAAAGAATGCATATATAAAGTATTTCAGACGTCAGCAGGCAACATTGTAAGAGTCAGAACTGTTTCTAAATGACATAATTTCTGCCATGATAATAATAATATGTTCCATAATGCACTCTACAATTTTATAGCTACAATCACTCCAAACATTTTTTTCTGTTCGATGTAAAGTATGTCAAATAGATTTTTTCAGACTTATTTGTAAGGAAGGGCTTAAACCTATACCAGTACTTTAGCTGTATATGTGAATGTCAAAGTGGAATGCTGCTTGTTTTTAGGGTCTTTCTATCTATTATTATTCTAAATAATAAATAAGACAAAGGGAACCAGTGGAAAGACTGCTCTATTTAATCCCATTGTTTTGTACATACAGTGACAGTAAAAATATTTTTATATGACAGGGTTTCAAAGAATACATTATAAATTTTTAACATAGGGATATATGCCAAGTAGCAAATAGAAAAAAAAAAACACATTGCTTTTATAAAAGAGTTTGCTAAGTTTGTAGGATAGTCCATCTTTTAAAAATAATTTGCATTCTATTATAAATTTCATTTTTAGTTTAAATGATTTTGCTTTCAAGAGAATCCCCCCACCACTGAAAGGGAATAGTGGGAAGGAGTAGGGAAAGAGTGGGAGGGGAAGGAATGGGGACAGGACTTGGTCAAATTGTGTGTGTGTGTGTGTGTGTGTGTGTGTGTGTGTGTGTGTATGAAATCCTTAATCAAAATGAAAGGAAACTCCCACAAAGCTGTAAAAACTGCAGATGCCACAAAACTTAATGTCCTTTAAGTGCCCAGGACACATCCACCCCAGGCACATGTTAGAGACTAAGACAGCATGCTTTCCTTCAAAGAACAGATTTGATGGGAAACAGATGTAAAGAAGGTAAAAGAGGGGAGATTATTCCATAGGAGTATGTGGGGAGAGGGGTGTCCCAGAAAGCTGACAGGAGGAAGCAACTGGCTGAATGCTCTATTCTCTGCCTCCTGTGACTACACCACGTCCACAAAGACTGATCCAGTAGCCCATATGACATATGAGAAAGCTCAAGTTTGTCACTGCCAGTGCACTGCCGCTCCCAAAGCATAAGTACTGTGCTGCTCAAATGCGCGAGAGTCGACAGGAAGTGCTGATCCTTGAAGCATTTAAATGAGGATGCATGAGGAGGTTAGCAGTGAAGCTGAGCTTTTCTGTTATTGTTGTAGCAACTCTACCAGAGGGAAAAACCACTGAATCCATCTTCGAGCACAGTATTCACTGGGTGGCAGGTGGCCCAGGAATATTAAGACAGCTGTCAACATCAAGGAAAGCACCAGCCCATGAAAAAGCAAACAGATGGATTGGGGCACTTCACTGGCTGCCTCTTAGAATAATAGCCGTGCTTGGCCAAATGAGGCAAAGTCAAGCTGCCCAGGGCAGCAAAAAGCTATTACTGGATAGAAGCACTCAATTAGGAGAGAGGCGGAGGTCTAGCCTCCCCTTGCCTTTGTCTGTATACTCAAGTTTTCATTAAAAACCACCACAGCAGATAAGAAAAAGAGGCAATGCTAGCATTTCTCATTCTGTTACATTCTGATTATCATGGTTTGTGGCGTGGGGAAATGCCTTGTCTTACTGCTTCAATGAGAGCAGATGGTGAAATTTTAAAGTAATTGGTTATTCAGACTTCTATGGAATACACGATGTTTTATTGTATTGTTTCTGGTTTTTATTTGCAGAGCATGTAGAGAGTGAAATCATTCAATACGGATTTAATGGTTAAATAGATGTGTTAGTTTGACCTAATTTACCTGTACTTTTCAATATAAAGTTTGCTGATAATTGAAATATGTTCTTTTAAGTATTTAAGTAAGAGAATATCTTTGGAAAAGTAGATTATAAAGCATATTCCAAAGTAATTGGTCACATCAAGTCAGCTTGATATGCCATTGTCTGTCTCAAATGCTATTAAAAATGACTGAAAAGTAGAATATCAATTTTAAGATTCTATTTAATATTAATTAGCTCCATACATTGGCAGGTATAATTGGAAGCCGCTTGAAGTGCATGAGTGGCCAGGCCCCTCCCCTAAAGACCTCCAACTGCCAGGTTCCTCTCACAGAACACTCTAACTGCCCTAAGGGCTGGACCCATTGCCCACTCTACAAAGTAAAACTCCCAAGCTCAGGATTTGAAATCCCACCAATTGCCATCCTGTAAAGCACCCCCCCAAAAAAACCCAAAATAAAAAAATAACGCAATATATAAACCCTATCTTTTGCTCAGTTCTCTGCTGCTTCTCATCCAAGCAGAGGCAGCCATCCTCCTGGGTTTTTCCACGCCAATAAATCTCATGCATGAGACATGACTTTATGATATTCCTAGGCTCCTGACTGCCAGGGTACCTTCCCCTTCAGACCTGTAGCACTTACAAGAATGCTTCAGAATAACAACTTAATATTAGATAAGAAACTCACATTCCACCATCTATTCTCCCAAACACTTCATCTGAGGGAGTGCATGAGGTCTGCACTATTGTGTTTTTCTGAAACACAATTCCAACCCATCTGTTCTGCCAAGAACCACTATTTGTAAGTCTGGGCTGGGCTGCTAAGTGTTAACTGTGCACCGTGCTTAGTCAGTAGCATAGAAAAATTTTTGAGTTTAAAAATTGGCTTATGAAGTTATTTTCACCTGTTTTAAATGCTATAGCACATATATTCTGGAAGCTTGACCTTTCTCACTAGGAA